CGGTTTTCCTCTGTGCAGCGTGGAGGGGGTCAGCAGCCTTTCCCTGGGGTGGCAGCAGTTATTTGGGAATAGGCAAGGCCACAACAGTCGCTGCGAGCCCCAGGCCCTGTTGGAGGCAGGTATCTTTTGTCTCAGTTTTTCTCCCCTTGGGGTTTATTTTCTTGGTGCTGGGGCAGGTGTCATCCCAGAGAGGTGAGGAGGTGCCTCCCCCTATGCCTGTGGAGAAGCTTTTCCCTCTGAGGGTGGCCCACAGCTCCCCAGGTAGCTCCCATTTTAAGCCTGCAAGGAGGGCTGGTGCCTGCTGACCTCTGCGTGGCATGGTGGGTGCGCTCAGCATCCTGGCTGGCCCCATCCCCAAAAGTCGTGCCTCCTGTGCTTCGCTCTATCCTTGCTGGGTCTCCTTCCGTGACAGGTTGTTCCGGCTCTTGCGCTTCACCTCAGGCACCTGCGTCTACACCAACAGAGGGGTGAGATGGCTTCAAGTGTTCCCATCCACAACCATGTAGTTGGAAGGGAATGTCCTTTAGCTCCCTGACGAGCAGAAAAGCAGAGAGCAGATAAACACTAGCATCCTGAAGTCCCCAGCAGCAGCCCAGATGCTACTTGGTGAGCCAGCCCTGGGCGCCCATCAGCACAGACATCTGTGCCCCTGTTGCTAATGGAGAACAAGCAGCAGGTAACCGCCTCAGAAGCAAACTTTCCCCCTTCACACCCTTGTCCTGCCCTGTTTCCCCCCCATGGAGCTATAACCTGCCCTCCCTAGAAAATCCTGCCTCTGTGCTTGTACTGTACCCCGTGTCGCTGCTCACCACCCCTGCGGGTCTGCTGGCTTCATCGCTCAGAGCAGACTTGACTGAGGTATTTCTGAGTTCTCAGATCATCAAGAGCTCTCAGGCTTACAAATTTTCAGGTGTTTCAGGGATTTTTCAGTGAGGATGTCCAGCGTGCTGTGGAAATGCTTTAGGTTGACTACCCGTTTTTTCCTAGTATGTACTGATGCAAAAAACACAGGCATTTTGAGAAGGCTGGGTGTTTGACTAGGCACAGGACAAACCCCCTACTGTGTGGCACAGTTCAGCCAGGTTTGTAGTGAACAAAACAAATCAAAATGCCACAGCCTGGTTCCCAAAACTCTTCCTAGGCAGGGGCGCATCTCTTTGTAAAGGCTACTTTTGCCAACAAAACTCTGCAGCACCTTCTGTACTTAGCTGGGACATTGGCTCAGCACTGACTGAGGCAGAATGGTGCTCCATAGCGAATCTCTAGTGTGACTGCTGGGAGGATCTGACTTTTTCCTCCTCTCTGTGACTCACTGAACTGTTTCACCTGCCTCAGTCTGTTATGATCACATGTAGTATCTCAGCCATAACACTGAGGGAATTCAAGAAGTCAGCAGTACCGCTGGTGAACCATCCATCCATCCATCCATCCCCCCACCCACCCACCCATCCACCTCTTTTCCTGTCA